AAAGAAAGAAATGGCTGCCTCAGAATTGGGAAGGCATCTGCATTCCAGAGAATGATGTGGACAAGTCCCATTTGCTGAGCCCCTGCATTTATTAGGGGTTTCTTACAGAACGAGAGCGGGACAGCCTATGGCAACTGCACTACCGACTCTGCCATGGCCTGCTGACTGAGTTACTGTTTACATACGGTTCTAAGTTAAACAACAGAAAACAGCATCAAAAGAGAGAGTCCAAGGATGAGTTCTGTGTTTGTATACACTCTGTTCCCACCCCACCTGTACTGGAGTCTGTGGTTGCAGCCAGTCCTGTCAACAAGGACGGATAACCTCATGGTGCTGCAGCCCAGCACACAGCCTCAGCCCCTCCAGGGGCCACAGCAAAATGGTGCTCCTTCAGCGAGGGTTTGGAGAACTTCTCGCTAAGCCTCTTGACTTAGCCACACAGGATAATCTGAGTGACAGTTGGGCTGAGTGTGGTGGAGGTGACTAGGAGAAGTCAGACAAAGGATATCAAGTACAAGTACAGGAGGTGACAGTGACAAGTAGTGTTTCTATTCCCTAGTTAGAGTAACTGTCTCAGCCCATCAGAACGAAAAGGTACATGTTCTAGTCAAGGCTGTCCTTCACAAGTCAGGTGTGATAGTGGCATATGCTTGTAATCCCAGCATTTAGGAGGCTGAGGCAGGTCAATCTCAAATTGGAGGCCAGCCTGGACCACACAGCAAGACCCTTCTCAAAAAACTAAACAAGGGGCCGGGCTTGGTGATGTACACCTGTAATCCCACCCCTCGGGAGGCTGAGGCAGGAGGATGTCCATGAGTTCAAGGCCATCCTGGGTTACACAGAGAGTTCCTGTGAGTTCCTGAACCTCACAGTGAAACCCTGTTTCAAAAAAACCAAACAACAGAATCCAAAGAAAAAGGACAGCTATTTGTTCCAAACACAAGCCGGGCGTGGTGGCGCACGCCTGTAATCCTAGCACTCGGGAGGCTGAAGCAGGAGGATCATTGCGAGTTCAAGACCAGCCTGGGCTACAAAGTGAGCTCAAGGCCAGTCTGAGCTTCATAGCGAGACCCTGTCTCAAAAATACAAAAACAAAACAAAACAAAACAAAACAAAAAAACACCACAGTCTGGGCAGGCTGGTTCAAAGAATGAGCAATAGTGGTAGATGTGCTGCAAAGGGGAGCCAAAAATGGAAGGACTACAAGTCCCAAGATGCATCAGAAGGGCGTTGCACGTCACTACGCTCCTAGAGTCTGCCGCAAAGACAATGGCGGGGCCAAGATGGCCTCTACTGTAATTTAGTGGGCGTGGTTCCTTGAGGCTCCTCCTCTAGAACGCCTCTCCAATGGGTGCCGCCCTGGTGTCCATGGCGACAGCGGCGGCTGCGGCTGTCCGCTGGCTTAAAGAGCTAGGAGCTAAGGCCGAGGGGGAGCGGGCTCCCTGTCGTGTCCGCGGGAATCACGGTCCTGTGATCGCAGAGGCCCAGGAAACGCCCAGGAAGAGCCTGAGCGGGCAAAGGGCGGCCATGAGCTACCAGCTGAGCCCAGCTTCAGGCCTCTAGGGGCAGCTCCTCAACACCTCGGGTGGGCAGTGTCCGCCGTGGACAACCCTTGCTCAAAGGGTCTTAGCCGTCGGGTGCCTAGCCCCAGTGTGTCCCAGGACAGGGAAGGGGCACGCTAGAGGACTTTTGATCTTCAGCTGTATTGTAAATTAAGTTTTTGCTTTTGAGTTTTATACTGGGGGTAGAACCCAGTACATGAGTTAACTGGCCTGAATAATTACCTGTATTTTAAAGCAAAGATATCCTCACTTATTTCTCCCAGCCATCCCTCCTCCCATTCAGGAACACCAACAAAAAAGCCATGGTCTCCTCTCCTGATAGCTCTGTGCCACTCCTGTAGGCACCAAAGTGTGTTGTATGATCGATCCGCTGTGATCCTGGATGGATGGCGACTGCGGGAGAGTCCACATCTCACTTGCATCCCACCCCAGACCCCAATACGTTTGGAAACATCCTGTTGTTCAGGGGGATTGTTCTGGTCTTTCTGTTTCTCCTTCTGTTTCTTTTTTTTTTTTTTGAGATAGGGCTTCACTGTGTAGTTCAGTCTGAACTTAAACCCACTGTATAGCTCAGGCTGGCCTCAAACTTGCAAGGATCCTCCTCAGCCTTTCCTGCCTCAGCCTCTCCAGTGTTGGGATTATAGGCTTGCAGCCGTCTGATACACATCTCATCTTCATCCCCACCCCTAGAATCTAAAAGGATGGAGCCAAGCACTTGTAAGAACAGCGAAACCGAGGAAGACTATGCTGAGGAAGAGGAATCTGAGGAGGAGTGCATTGAAGAGGAAGCTCCAGTCCTTTCCGACCCTTTGCAGCAGGCCTTATCAGAGGCTGACCATAATGCATTTGAGGATGGGTTTCCCTTAGCTATTGTAGCCAAAAAAATTATAGCTCCAGCTGACACAGATGACATAGACCTTGGGAGGAGAAAAAGAAGGCGGAAACGCAGGTAACCTTTCCCTGGTGGCTCCAGAGTTACCCCAGCCTCCCTTCAGCGATTTAGGGGGCTGGGGTCAGTATCTGCGCTCTTCCCTTTAGCATTCAAAACAGAAGAAAAAAGGCTGGAGCATTAATCTTTTGGCATCAGAACAAAATAAAATCCTAGGATGGCTCAGTTTGGAGTTTCAGCATGTTTACATCACTCTGGTGTTTCTTTTTAAGTGGCTTCTAGAGAAGATGAATTGTAAATTTTAGGTATCTCTTCATCTGGGTGCCTGGCACCCCGGAAGTCTGTCCTTCTCTCCCTCTCTGCTGATTTCTGCCTTTCCTCCATTCCAGATCCCTGACCATCAACCTGACCAGCTGCAAGTATGAGAGTGGTAAGTGCCTCTGTGCACAGGGGACTTCCTTTCTTGCTCTGGGGACTGAACTCCAACCAGGCTCCCACCCCTAGGTTTTGCCAGGCCAGCTCCTCAGCTCAGCTGTCAACAGCTGAGATATTGCTGTTCCAGCTAGTCTCCGTGGAAGGAGTGTATCTCCACCGTTAGCTAACAAGAAAAAAATAAATGATTAAGAGTTCGGCTGGTCCAGCCTTCCCACACTTTAGCAGAGATAAGACAAAGTTAAAATAGAGTTTTTTCAAGGTTAGAGACAAAACTTGGTGGTAGTGTTTGCCTGCACGTGGCCCCGGGTTTAGTCCTCAACACTGCAAAAGAAAAATAAGCTGCTGGGCGTGGTGGTGCACGCCTGTAATCCCAGCGCTGAGGAGGATGAGGGAGGAGGATCCTTGCGAGTTTGAGGCCAGCCTGGGCTACAAAGTGAGCTCAAGGCCAGCCTGAACTGCATAACGAGACCTTGTCTCAAAAAGACAAAAAAATAAATAAATAAGATTTTAAAAAACAAACTGGTGTGGTGCACACCTGTAATCCTAGCACTCTAGGAAGCTGAGGCAGGAGGATGGCAAGTTTCAGCCCAGCCTGAACTTAGCAAGACCCTGTCTCAAAATAAAAAATAAGAAAGGGCTGGGGACAAAGTTCAGTGTGAAGGATCTGGTTTTATCCCCAGTACTACAAAAACAGTTCTTTCAAGGCATGTTTGAAGAGGCTTTGGCAATTTGGAAAAAAAAATCCATCTAGGTCAGCCTCTCCTCCCCTCTCCTCTTTATCCCCGCTGGCATCTGTGTAAGGGGCCATTAGAATGTTAGGTGCCAGTGGGATCCCCACCCAGCATCAGCTCTATAGACCAGAAACTGCCCTGACCGAGAGATAGATCTGCCAGGCTCTCATTTCCGCTGCCACACATTCTGGAAGCACACGGCAGCCTCATGAACTTGGAGTGGCCACCTGGTAACTAAGATGCAGAGCGAAGGTATGGTCACCTCCCTCCTCAGCCAGCCTTTCGCTCAGGTCTGTTCCATCCCTGACCCAGCTAGTGTCCCACCCTATCTCTGCAGTGCGGCGGGCAGCGAAGTTGTGTGGCTTGAAGGAGGTGGGGGAGGATGAAGAGTGGACCGTGTACTGGACAGACTGCTCGGTCTCACTGGAGCGAGTCATGGAAATGAAGAGATTTCAGGTAACAACGTTCTGGCCTAAGACCCAGAATGACTACTCACCCGCTGCTGCCCAGCCCCCTGAGAGTACCCAGGCTGGGCCCCTGTCAGACAGGAGAGGGTCCGTGCAGACTCTCAGTGGGGATGTGCTCCTCTTGGCTCTTGCCATCACACCCGGCCACATGATATTTTTATTCTCTAATCAGGCCTTTGGGATGATTAGTAATAAAATAAGTCATCCATCACTTAATGAGGGGGATGCATTTCTGAAGAATGTGTTGCTAGGCAGCGTCATTGCTCTGTGAGCATCATGTGTCCTTGTACAGGTTAAGATGGCTTGCCAGGTGTGGAGGTGAACACCTATGATTCCAGCACTCAGGAGGCTGAGGCAGAAGGATTTCTGAGTTCAGGACCAGCCTGGGCTGGGTCTGGTGGCGCATGCCTGTAATCCTAGCTCTCGGGAGGCTGAGGCAGGAGGATTGTTGTGAGTTCAAGACCAGTCTGGGCTACAAAGTGAGCTCAAGGCCAGCCTGAACTGCATAGCAGGACCCTGTCTCAAAAAACAGACAAACAACAACAACAACAAAACCCCAACTAAACTAAAAGATGGCTATGATGTCACTGGGTGATATAATCTTAGAGAATTATGCAGCCTTTCATTGATCAAAATGTTCTTATGCAGAGCATTACAGAAATTAAAAAGGATCTGTAGGCAAACTGGGGGATCAGGAAGGCTCCATGAGTTAGGCAAACTGTAACCTGTTTCGGAGCTTGGTGGAGGAGCCCGAGACAGCTAGTGCCAGAGGCACTCAAGAATCTTCAAAGGAGAGCCAGGCATGGTGCCACACGCCTGTAATCCCAGCTTCTGGGAAGCTGAGGCAGGAGGAGCACCCTAAATTCATGTGAGACCCTGTTTCCAAACATACAAAAACAAATCCTTAGGGAAGGGGCATGCAGGGAGCAGTGTCTGATGAGGCTGACAATGATTAACAGCTTTCAGTGAGGGCTTCCTGTGCAACCATCAGACTCTGTCAGTGCTTCAGTATCATTCTCCACCGATTCCTTACAAACTCCCTGAGTAGCAGGCATCCTTTTGTTAAAAAGAAGGCACCAAGCTGGGTGTGATGGCACATGCTTGGAGTCCCAGCACTTGGGAGGCTGAGGCATGATAATTACCAGTTTGAGACCATCTGGGCTGCATAGTCAGTTCCAGGCCAACCTGGACTACATAGCAAGATCTGGTTTTTTAAAAAAGGACACCAATGCTCAGAAATACCAGACACTAAGTTCACACAGCTCGTGGCTGAGAAAGCCAGGGAGAAAGTGCTTAGCCCTCATATGCTGCTCCTGACCCTGCAGAACAGAACAGAACAGCCAGGGACTTTGGCAGACACCATGGCAATGCCATGTCCTCTCTGGGTGCTATAGCAGATATTCCCTGTGTGTGTTTTGGGTGGAGCAAGGAGGCCTTATACGGCACTTCTGGTTTTCACCCTTGCAGTGCTGGTTCTTAGTTTCTTTTTTTAAAAATTACAGTATTTGGGCCAGGTGTGGTAGTGCACACCTGCAATCTCAGCCCTCAGGAGGCTGAGGCAGGAGGATCACCACAAGTTTAAAGGCTACAAAGCAAGACCCTGTCTCAAAAAATAACCCAAAAACAAAAAACAAAACAAAACCCCAAAACACTGTCTAAATTATAGTACTGGGGGCCAGGGATATAGCTCAGTGGCACAGTGTCTGCCTGGCAAGCATAAGGTCCTAAATTTGATTCCTGATACCAATAAATAAATAAATAAATAAATAAAAATAAATTACAGGGCCGGGGATATAGCTCAGTAGCATAAGCGCCTGTCTGGCAAGCATGAGGTCCTGAGTTCAATTCCTAGTACCAAAAATAAATAAATAAATAAATAACAGTACTGAGAGGTACAGATTCTCTAAGATGAATGTGATCATTATGTATATCTAAAATGTACCAATAAAATCTGATTGGAAAAGAAAAAAGTAAGAATAAATTACTGTACTGGGAATGGGATACAGAGCCTTCACACTGAATTACAGCCCAGGGCCCCTGTCTTCCATACCCTGCCATTCTAGAGATTTAACCGAGGGTCTTCCCACTGAGCTACATATCCAGGCTTTAAAAAAAATTTTTTTTTGTTTTGTCTTTTTGAGAGACGATCCCGCTGTACAGTTCAGGCTGGCCTTGAGCTCACTTTGTAGCCCAGGCTGGTCTCGAACTTGCAATGATCCTCCTGCCTCAGCCTCTGAGTGCTGGGATTATAGGAATACGCCACCACACCTGGCAAAAAAATTTTTTTTTGTTTTTAATTTTGTTTTTAATTAGTCTTGCTAAATCACCGAGTTGCCTAGGCCGGGCTCAAACTTGCAATGCTCCTCACTCAGCTTCCTAGAGTGGTGAGATTACCAGCATGTGCCACCACACTCAGCTTGGTTTCTCTTTTGTGTGTTAGGAAATGTTTTCCTCTTCCGTCTTTGTGCTGTCATAGATTGTTATTCTTACAGCACTAGTCACAGTGGTCTGGGGATAATAGAAGCGTAGCTAGAATGCCCAAGGTTCCGGCTAGTGTACACTCTCACTGCCTCACTGCTGTGTGGGTGTGTGTGTTTTGGGTGGAGCAAGGAGGCCTCGTAGGGTATCTTCCGGTTTTCACCCTTGCAGTGCCAGGTGTACCGCTTCCCTCCACTGTGACTTCCCCTTGAATCTTCCCAGTTCTCTTGCACTGTTTCCTGGGATGCTGAGGCCCCAGGATCTGCCACTTAGTCTGGGCCAGAGTGCAGTACCTCCAACCGGATCTGTTTCAGAAAATCAACCACTTCCCTGGCATGACGGAACTCTGCCGCAAGGATCTGCTGGCACGGAACCTCAACCGAATGCAGAAACTCTACCCCACCGAGTACAACATGTTCCCCCGCACCTGGTGCCTCCCTGCAGAGTGAGTGGCATCCTGGGGCAGGAGAGGGGCCGCCCCCGGAGCTCCCTCCAGACTCTGGTCTTGTGACTTGGCATGGCTCAGAGGGATGGACATGGACCAAGTAAGTTTCAGCTGGTCAAAGAAAAGTGGTTCTGAGGCAGAGTGTCCTGGAAGAGCATGGACCGGATAGCAAGATCGCCACGGGGCCCTGGGACTGTGGTAGTGCACAGGAGCCTTCTGACCAGCCCCTCTCCGCACACAGCTACGGGGACTTCCAGGCCTATGGTCGGCAGCGCAAAACCCGCACTTACATCTGCAAGCCAGACAGTGGCTGTCAGGGCCGTGGTATCTTCATCACCCGAAACCCCAAGGAGATCAAGCCAGGAGAGCATATGATCTGCCAGCAGTACATCTCCAAGGTGAAGGATGTGGGGACCACAGGGCCCCTTCCTGGTACTGGAGCACCTGGTATCCCCCAAATCAAGGGAGGAAACCCTTTCAGGTGCCTGTCTGTATCTGGTCTTCTTTCCCCTGGAGGCACATGGAGCCATGGTTCAGCGCCAGTCTTGTGATCTGGGCAGGTTTCTTACCCCTTCCTTGGCTCCATGTCCTTACTGTGGGAACAGTAACCGCAGCGACTAGATATGGTTGTAGGGGAGCTGAGCAAGTTGTTCTGCCTTGGGAGCACTTGGCATGCAGCGTGAAGTATGCCCTTCAAAGTTTCTCGTTCTTTCCTCTGGCTGTGTGCTCTCAGCCCTTCCTCATTGACGGCTTCAAGTTTGACATGCGAATCTACGTCCTGATCACATCCTGTGACCCTCTCCGGATCTTCATGTACGAGGACGGCCTGGCCCGCTTTGCCACCATGCCTTACATGGAGCCCAGCCATAACAACCTGGTGAGTGCCAGGCCCGCACCCTCTTCCTTTCTTCTAGGGAGAACTGAGCTAGAAGTTGGCTAGGAGCAAGGAAGGAAGCCAGGAAGCTCCATGGCACCCAGCCTTTGGCGAGTGGTGACAGAGAAAAGGCCCAGCAGCCCTGCTCCCCAGGACCCTACAGGACAGTCCCATGTGAAGAGGGCCAGAAGAGCAGCAATCCTGGGGAGGGGTGGAGAGGAAGGCAGTGTGGTAGCAACCTAAATGCACTGGACCCTCACTTCACAGGAGAACGTCTGCATGCACCTCACCAACTATGCGATCAACAAACACAATGAGAATTTTGTCCGGGATGATGCTGTGGGCAGTAAGAGGTACTACCACTCTCTCTTTTCCTGCGTGCTCTGCCACTTAGCCCTGTAGCCTTGGGTGCTCACAAAACCAACCTCTTGGGAGGCTGACTGCCCGGGACCACACTGCCTTTATAGACCCAGGTCTCCTGTCTGAGCTCAGAGTGCAGCTCCACCCCACCCAACATCTAATCTCTGCTCCAGCTGCTAGCAGCCCTCTGAAGCAGAGAGTGAGGTCAGCACCAGGGAGCCCTGCCCTGGGCAGGCCCTGCTGGCATAGCAGAGGGTCTTCCTCTGAGCCCTGGGCCTCACAGGAAGCTGTCGACACTCAACGCCTGGCTGCGAGAGCATGGCTACGACCCCCGGGAGCTGTGGGGAGACATTGAGGGCATCATCATCAAAACCATCATCTCAGCTCACTCTGTCCTGCGCCACAACTACCGAACCTGTTTTCCCCAATACCTGAGTGGAGGCACAAGTGCCTGTTTTGAGATCCTCGGTTTTGACATCTTGCTGGACCACAAGCTGAAGCCCTGGCTGCTGGAGGTGAGGTTTCTCTCGTGGGCTTTTCAAGACCAATGTCCAGAGGCCTCCCCGAGCAGGAACCCTGGGGTAGGATCACACTTGGTGGGGGAACAGCAGATGGGGGACTTGGAAGGCCTGGGGTGGGCAGGAACCAGCCAAAGGCACAGGGTGAGTCTCTGGCCTCTACCATAGCAGTCATGTTTGGGGTCTCTGGTGACCTTTGGCTTGAGGATAGTAGATCGGTCCAATGTGCTGTCGTCCCCTTGTGAAGTGGAAGGGTCTAGGCCAAGTCCTGTAGCCTTGGATACTGAGCCTCCGACCTCCTCAGCAGAGGCCACATGGGAGATGTCTTTCCTAGACCCTCCGTTAGGCCTGTAAGCGGCCACTACCTGCTCACAGGGTGAAGAAGGAGCAATGAGGACTTCTCTCTGCAGGTGAACCACTCCCCAAGCTTCACCACAGACTCCCGCCTCGACCGAGAGGTGAAGGATGCGCTTCTCTGTGATGCCATGACCCTCATCAACCTCCGGGGCTGTGACAAAAAGAAGGTGATCGAGGAGGAAAAGCGGCGAGTCAAGGAGCGGCTTTTGCTGTGCCACCAACAGCCACGAGAAGCCAGGTGCGCAGGTGTCTGATGTGTTCAGTTGTGTGACTTGTCATCTTTGATATTACTTTTTGGAAAATAAAAGCCCTCTGGAAGGAGAAGTCTACGTGGGCCTAATTAGTATTAAAAACATTTTTTTTTGCATAGGTAATACATTCATGCTTGCTTGGAGAACACATAGCAAGTCATAGATATGTTCAAAATACAAATGATACAGCTGGGTGTGGTGGCACAAGCCTATAATCCCAGCACTCAGGGGGCTGAAGCAGGAGGATCACTGTGAATTCAAGGCCAGCCTGGACTACATAGTGAGTTCAAGGCCGGCCTGCACTACACAGCAAGACCCTGTCTCACAAACAAAACAAAAGAAAAAAACAAAAACAAAAACAAAATATAAATGATACAGTAAATGGTCTTTCTCCAGCCCAGTCTTTCTCCAGCTACCTAATTTCCTCCCTGGAGCCAGTCAAAAGTCCTACTGTAATGTGTATACGTTCACAAGCATTTAAACCACAAATACAAAATATTTTCCTTCCTTGTTTAATCAGGCAGTTGCATAACTCCACACTCTGTACCCTGCACAGCAATGTGTTTTAAGCTGTTTTCCTATTAGCACATAAAGAGCTTTATGTGCTTTGAGCAGCTGCTTTGTTTGTTAACTGAGTTCCTCTAGATGCCCAGTCCTGAAAGACAGATAAGTTGTTCGTTAATAAGGGAATCGTGTAAATCAGTGCTGTCACTCGTTTCATTAAGAAATGGATTACAAACATTGTAGTTGGTTGTTGGTACGACAATTATAATTTCTTAATGATATATAAAATGAAGTTGAGTAGGCTTGGGTCATTCCTGTAACGATACCGTTGTCTCCACTTGCATCCCAGTATGTAGGACAGTGTGTATTTGACTCCTCAGATGGCCTAAGGGCCTGGCACACAGCAGGCACTCAAATGTTTGTGGGATGAGTAGGAGCGAAGGATAACAGTAAATACCCTGAGTATTCCCACAGACTAGACTGTGTGCCTGAGTGAATCATGTCCTTCAGTGGGAGAAAATGGCTGGAAACTGTTGAACTAAAGAAACACAATATGCTAGGTATAGTGGTGCATGCCTTTAATCAAGCACTCTCAGACTGAGGCAGGAGGATCACAAGTTCAAGGCCAGCCTGGGCAATTTAATGAGACCCTCTTCCACCACCCTACCCCACCAAAGGCCTGGTGATATAGCTCAGTACTTCCTGGGTTTGATCCACAGGACTATAGAGGGAAGGAAGGAAGGAAGGAAGGAAGGAAGGAAGGAAGGAAGGAAGGAAGGAAGGAAGAAAGGAAGGAGGGACAGAGGGAGGAAGGAAGGAGACCTAAAACACTGTGGTAACTTGAGGTGCTAGTTTACAAGTGGAGCCCTCTGCACTTAGGATGAGAATCAGATGTCTGAAACCAGGCCTGTTTTACGTGGTGCACACGTGGCGGGGCTGGGCAAACATGGGCTTGGCGGCTTCCCCACATGGGCAAGGAGGCCGAGCAGCCACGGAAGGCTGGAAGATTCTCCCACTTAGCCAGCCTTCCTTCCCCTACTGAACATTCTCATAGCCCTCTGACTCCCCTGAGCTCGCTTTCCACAGGCGAGAACTGATGGAGTCATCCCACGCGGCCATGCTGGACCAGGAGAGATACGAGGATTCCCACCTGGGGGGATACCGGCGGATCTACCCAGTGCCTGACATGGAGAAGTATGCTCCCTTTTTCAAGCACAATGGCTCCCTCTTCCAAGAGACTGCTGCCTCCAAGGCCAGAGAGGAGTGTGCCAGGTACTTTGGCCTCCATTTTCCTCTGTACGTATCAAGAAGAGCAAATCCTGAAGCTGAACTGCTCCCTAGCGGGGAGAGAGGCATCCAGACACGCAACACAAGAGGAGTGGAGTTCAAGTTCTGTCAGACTCTTAGTGTCTCTTTCCATCCAGCGGGTTTCCCATCTCCGCCCTCGCTCTCATCCCATTGGCCCCAAGACCACATCACAGTTCCTACTCTTTCTGCATCCTCGCTTCCCTGCACCCCCTGCTCCCCAGCACTATTTCTCCTGTGTGTGAAGCTGCTGTGTCTTGTCAGGCAGCAACTGGAAGAGATCCGCCTGAAGCAAGAACAGCAGGAAAACTCGGGCACCAAGAGGCGAAAGGAAAACAAGGACCAGAACCTGGGTGAATCAGCCGGAGAGAAGAGCAGAACCAGAGTAGGGTCCCGGACCCACTTGGCTTACAGGATGCAGAACCGGGAGAAAGAGGTGTTAAAGGGTTTCTGGTTCTTATTTTTCTGGCAGAAGATGGGCTGGGACTGCTAGAGAAGGGAATTTCTGCTGTCCTCTCCTCCCCTTGTGCATGAGATGAGCTCAGATTTAGTAACATAAAGCTGATCTTTTGGACAAGAAGGAAGAGAGTGGACAGCAAAGGGAGGCTCTTACAGGAGGGTCTGGGCAGGGTTGGTGATTTTGTAGGCAGGAGTCTTGCAGCCATCCTTGCTAATGGTTTGGGACTCATCCTTGGAGAGCCTGCATTTACCTCTCCTGTGCCTTGCAGCTGCTACCAGTATACCCGGACACCATGCAGCCTCAAGAAATTGTGGAAGAGGAAGAGCTAGAGCGGATAAAGGGTCTCCTACAAAGGGGGAACCTCATCCGAAGCCTGGGTATTGTAGAGCAGCTCACCCGCATGCTCCACTTTAGCCACCGGAGCCAGAAAAACCTTCAGGAGTATCGGGTGAGGGTCCCTATGAAGCATCTCACAGAACAAGGGAACAAGGGCTGTGATACCAGCACATGGTAGCGGTCACACCTAAGGAGGCTTATGTGGCGGTATCTGTCTATGGAGCCTGTGAAAGCCGAGTGTGCTGGGGCTTGGGAGAGGGTCTGTCTGTTTCTTCTACACTAGTTCCCAAGTTCTGTTATTTTTGGTAGCGACATCCAGCAAAGTGCAGTTCCCACCTTTTACAAGAGACTTGCTCTCTATCCCCACCTCACAGTGACCCAAAACTCCTGACTGACAAAGAACAAGGCTCCCATTACCCTTGGTGGCTTCTGTGTGATTCTCTCCCTAGCACCGCCAGTGCCCTGCTCTAATGGGAACTAAGTAAACAGTTCTGGGCCAACAAAACAGCTGCATTCAATATTCCCCGGGCTAGAAGCAAACCTGTTATGCCCTGTTTTTGTTGAACCCCTAAAGAAGTAGATGGCTAAAAAGTGGCTATGGCCTATAAGAGATTTTTCAGTTATGCAGTTCTGTTTCTTCCAGCACAACATCCAGCCTCACAAAAAGTGTGATAAGGGGCTGCTCTTCTCCTCTAGCCTAGATTTCACCATGACGGGCTGGGAAATCAAGAAATGCAGTCTCTGAGGCTGGTTCCACTGGTGCTTCTGAGAGAGGCTGCCTCAGAGCAGGGCCATCCTCATTTCCTGCAACCACTTCGGCCCCACGAATTGATCCCCAGGATCTTAGGGCCACTGTCAAGCATGAGTGCTGCAATTCCGCATCATTCTCAGTGCCACCTGCAGTCCAGGAACGTCTACTGGACAGGGGATTCAGCAACCATGGGCCCCTGTTCACTGTCAATGAAGAAATCTGGGACACACTATTTACCCCGCGCTAGAATCAGGCTTGCTGGCCGTAAGTATATAAAACTTGGCTTTTGGTCACTTTAATCCACATCAATTCCCAATAGCAAATATGTCAGCTGGGGATGACCCCACAATATAATGTGTAGTAGTGGGGGAGCTGGTGACCCATTTATTTATGTCCTTCTAAATACAGTACTAGCCCTTGGTGATAGAAATGGCAGAAATGCAGTCCCAGACCACAACAAAGCTAACAGGGAAATGGCCAAGTAAACACATCAATGACAATAGTGTGGCAAAGACACTGGAGGGAGGGATGTGCGCCATTCCTCCGGGTTGGTAATGGACCTTAGTGAGAAAGAGGTGAGTAAATCTCTTCTGTGGGTACCAACTGGGGCGGGGTGGGGGCGGGGTGTCCATGTTTCCACTGCAGAAGACCAAGCCAGCAGAAGGTTAGAAGCCCTAAGCCGAGCCCTGGCAGGAACAGTGCCATCCATTTTAACCTCAAAGCAGCGCTATCTTCTGCAGCCGGAAAGCGTGGAAAGGGACTCATGGACTGAATGCGCCTTGCCTTCCATGGGAAACTCTGAATGTAGCACAGCCAAGGCCGAGGATGTCGCCCTCTGCGCGGCCTCTGCACCCATGCTGCGGCGCTCCAGCACACTCCTCAACGTCAGCCAGCACAGGTAAAGGCAGGAAGGGAGCCCAGCACCCACCCTCTCCTGGAGAACCCTCGGGTTTCCAGAGGAGCAAAGAGCCTTCAATCTTTGCTAAATGAAAGGCTGTCACCAAGTTCCAGTGCGAAATCCCCTGGCCAGGAACCTGGTTTGCAAAAGGCAAAACAAAGACACTAAGAATTCCTCAACACCGATAAAGACGAGAAGATGAAGAGCCGGGGCCGACCACGTCCTCATCTCTGCACCGCAAGCCTCAGCCTGCGTTTATCGCTAGCCGATGGGTCGGAACCCTGGGTGCTGGTCCAGGTCTGGCGGGCACTTCGGCGACAAGGGCCCTTCCTCGGAGAGCCAAGCGCCCAGGGCAAGGCGAGGTCGCTGTCCGAAGACGGCTAAGAGGACGCTTCTCCCGCCACCCTGGCGTAGACAGGCAGGCCTGGGCAGCCTGGGACAGAAGGGCGGCTGCTAGCAACTGAATCCGTCTTTTTATTAAAGCTTATGTCGTTTTCCATGCGCGTCCTGTACTTCATTTCTGCCCTCGGGTTTCAGGGACGCCCTCACCACAATTACAGCACGGAGTCGTCCGCCGAAGGGCAGTTCCGCGCGGATCGCCCGCCCACCCGGCAGGCGGAAAGACGCCTGACCTCTTCAGCTTCCGGTTAGCCCCTTCCTCTTCCGGTCTCGCCCCCTCTGCTTCCGGTGGGAGCCAGTCGCTGGGTTTAGAAGGCTGGTTTGCGTCGCCATGGCAGCTACCTTGACCTTCTCGCTGGTGGGCCGTGTCCGGGGGGTCGTCGCGCGATGTGGGTTCGCGACCCGGGGGGTGGCAGGCCCAGGTCCTACTGGCCGCGAGCCGGACCCGGATTCCGATTGGGAGCCGGAGGAGCGGGAGCTGCAGGAGTTGGAAAGGTATCGGCGCCTTCGAAGGTCCACAGCTTGAAGCGGTGTCCCTCGTCCCGGCGATCCAGGCCGCGCCCCCTTGTCGCCGGGTGTCCTGCCTCTGCCTCCACAGCGGCCCTACTGTACCTTCTTTTTACCTGTTGTGAGGGCCGCAGGGGCAGGTGTTCAGTTTTCTAGTGATTGCAGGTCCCTTCTCTAGTGCTGTTCTTTTATCATCCGTTTAGAGAATTCGGCTCGCTTGCAGGCAGTTATTGTTCTAGGTGTTCAGCTTCTGGGCCGGTGTACAGAGCAGCTCTAAGCTTCCAGACATGGCCTAGTTACCTTTGCGGACAGAGAAAAGACGACTGGGCTGTTTGATTTAGCCGAAACTCTTCAACACCCTTTTTGCTTGCACGCATGGCTTCTGCCATTGGTTCTCTCCCTTAGCACGCTGAAACGGCAGAAGAAAGCAATCCGATTCCAGAAAATCCGGAGGCAAATGGAGACGCCAGGTCCCCCTCCCAGAACCCTGACGCGGGAAGCCATGGACCAGATCCGGTAAGACTCAGGATAACTTGCTGGCTGTGATAGGAAGTGAAAGACACTGGGGCCAGAACGCGGGTTTGGCATTTTAAAAATTATTTTTAAAACAAGGGTGGTGGTGCACACCTGTAATCCTAGCATTCAGAAGGCTGAGGCAGGAGGATCACAATGAGTTCGAGACCAGTCTGGCTGCATAGTGAGTTCAAGGGCAGCCTAAACTACATAGTGAGACCCTGTCTCAAGAGACGCCCCCCGCAAAAAAAATTAAAATTATTTTTGAGGTGCCGGGGATTGACACTAAGCTGTATTTTCAACCCTTTTTTCCCCCTCTTTGGAGACACGGTTTTACTAAATTGCCCCAGGCTAGGCTCAAACTTGCATTGGCCGAGAGTCAGCCTCTCAGATTGCACGGATTACAGTGGGGCATCAACAGGCATATCTAACATTTTCTTGTTTATTGCTGAAAATTTTAAACAGGGGGCTGGGGATTTAGCTCAGCGGCACAGCGCCTGCCCGCCAAGCACAAGGTCGTGAGTTCCATTCCCAGTACCGGCAAAAAAAAAAAAAAAAGAAAATTTTAAACAGAAGGTGTAGTAATAATAAAATGAACTTGAAAACTTAGATTTAGGCCTTCTAGTTTTAATAATTTTTAGCATTATGACACAGTTGGCTCGTTTTTTGCCTAACTTTTTAAATAGCAAATTGCAGATGCCACATTTGATATCTTTTTTGTTGTTTTTTTTTTTCCAGTACCGGGGATCGAACTCACGAACTAGCGCTTGCCAGGCAGGCACTGTGCCGCTGATCCAAATCCCCAGCCCCAACATTTGGTATCTAAATAGATCATAGGGTTCTCAGCCTAAGATCCAGAATGGGCAGTAGTGAGTTGTGAGTTTGAGACCAGACTGGGTTACAAAGTGAGCTCAAGGTCAGCCTGAACTGCATAGCCAGACCCTGTCTGAAAAAAGACAAAAAATAAATAAAAGGGATCTTTTTTAAATTTTAAATTTAGAAAAATTTTCTCTTAAAAACATTTTAGTAGATAATGTATTACATATGGCTCAGAATTATAATTACAGCTTGGTGTATACATTGATTTATTTGCCCCACCCAGTTTCCTATGAGTATTTCTATGGTTTTTGTCTTTCTCCAGATTTCCTTACACAAATACAAGTAAGTATGAATGTAAATTTTTACTTCCATCTCTTGAATCACAAGCAGTGATATCCTATGAAGTCTATTCTGCACTTCTTTTTTCACTTGATATATCCTATCCTATGGGTTTTTCCATTTAGAAGACAGAGTTATTCATTTCTTTCTAGCTTAGTAAACCATAGTTTATTTGACCCATTTTGTGTTGGGCACTTGAGTTGTTTCCATTCTTTTCACTTACAAATAGTGAATAGCTCTATTTTTATTTATTTTTTGTCTTTTTTTTTTTGGGACAGAGTCTTGCTATGCAGTTCAGGCTGGCCTTGAGTTCACTTTGTAGCCCAGGCTGGTCTCAAACTCACAACAGTCCTCTTGCCTCAGCCTCCTGAGTGCTGGGATTACAGGCATGCACCACCATGCCCAGCTACAAATAGTGCTCTAATGAAGCAGGAGTATTTGATGTATGTGTTACCAGAAGCAGACTTACTGATAAAAAGACAAATGTGTGTGCATTTTGATTAATGTGCTTAAGTAGCTCTAAATTGGTCATGTACTAGTTTCCATGTCCATGAAATGGAGAATGAGCACAGTTGTGACTTAGAATAAAGAGGGTTTATAGCACTGGTCAAGACTTGTAGGCAGCAGCACCTCTATCCTGGGTCCCCAGTCAGCTCCCTACTGTCTGAACCCAGAGCTGTGTGTATGCAGGGCAAGTGCTTTTCTGTACCACTGAGTTACATCCCCAGCCCATCAACTCTGCTCTCTTGAACAAACAGCTTTTCAAACTCTTAAGTCCCTTTTTGGGGTCAATAAATGTCTTTAATTCTGAAGAAAAAAAATAGGCCATTAAGTAAGCTTATTGCTCTTTACCTTCCATTCTCTTTTTTTTCCTTTTTTTTTTTTTTTGAGACAGGGTCTCACTATGCAGTTTAGGCTGATCTTGAACTCATGGCTACCCTCCTGCTTCAGCTTCCCAAGGAGTGCTGGGGTCACAGACCTGCACCACTACACCTGGCTACCTTCCATTCTTATGTTCTGCTTCCATCTTACAAGTGATAGCCCCTCACTTGTCTAGGACCAGTCTTTGGTGTACTTTAGGTCATATCCTTCCATACTTATCTCAGGGACATCTGCCTGTCCATTGAAATCCCTCTATCATCTAAGCCTCTTAAGTTGCCCAGGCTGGCAAACTTGTGATCCTCTTGCTCGAGCCTGTCACAGTGCTGGGCTTAAAGCCCTCCTTCCTTCTCTTATTCCTAGTTGGCACCAAGGCTGCCTGCCTGGCTAGCTACCTTTGTTGTTTTTTGGTTTGGTGTATGTGTTTAGTACAATCCGTCAGTGACGTCTTCATTTCATTGACACTGTGCAGTCTCTATCCTTCTTAACATTTGTGTAAGGAGCTGGGGATTTAGCTCAGCGGCAAAAGCGCCTGCCTGGCAAGCGCAAAGTCGTGAGTTCGGTTCCTGGTACCGGAGAAAAACCAAAAAAAAAAAACAAACAAAAAAAAAAACATTTGTGTAAACTAGGCATGGTGGCACACACCTATAATCCCAGCACTTGGGAGGCTAAGGCAGGAGGATCTCCTCAAGTTCAAAGCCAGGCTAGAGAACCAGGGATATAGCTCAGGGGCATAGCACCTGCCTGGCAAGCGTGAGGTCGTGAGTTCAATTCCTGGTACCAAGAAAAAAAAAAACACAAAGACAGGCTAGACTGCATAGCCAGACGCTGTCTCAAAAAAAGGCGGGGAGGGCAGCATTTGACCCTGTAAATGAAATTCTCTCTCCTTGATCTTAGGGTTTTCAAGTTTCTCAAATTCAACATACACAAAATAGAATTCATCAATGTTCCATGACAGTGTAATTCTTCGGTTTTCCCTACAGCTCATCAACCACCCCAGCTAAGATCCTGAATCATGGCATTAATACTTCTACCCCCAATATTTAGTTCTTGCCAGATGCTACTGGTGACCTTCCTGAAATATTTCTTGGTTCTCTTGCTGCCTGTTCTCTTGCTGCCACTGTCTCCAGGCAGACTGTTGGGATTATCCTAACAGCCTCATGCTAGTCCACTTGAGCTCTTTGCATGCTGTTCTTGGCAGTGCCAGGGCTCTAATCCAGGGCTCTGACAGCGGCTAAGCGGTGTTCTACCACTGAACTGCACCCCAGCCCCTTCACCTACACCTTTACCACTGAGAAACTACCAGTGGGTGGAGCTTCACAGTGAAAACTGCACTGCTGAGAATCACTCTTTGGCTCATTGTTGCTGGGATAAGTTCCAGGCTGCCAAGCAGGGCATGATCTTGCTCCCATCCTCAGCGTCAGTGTGAAATATTCCCAGCAAAGGTGATGTGCTTCTGTGCTCACTGTCAGTATCTTCATCTCTCCTCTGTCTGCCCCTCTGTCAGCTTACTGCGCCCTCTCCTTTAAGATCAGCTCTGCTGGCCGGGTGTGGTGGTGCATGCACTCGGGAGGCTGAGGCAGGAGGATCGTTGAGAGTTTGAGACCAGCCTGGGCTACAAAGTGAGCTCAAGGCCAGCCTGAACTGCATAGGGAGACCCTGTCTCAAAAAGACAAAAAAAAAGAAGAAGAAGAAAAAAAGATCAGGTCTCCTTTGGATGACTTTGTGAAGCAGTGTGTTGTGACTGCTTCTCCTTGGGTTTCCGGCCTGGGTCCTTTTACTGTATCATGTGCACCATAACACTTAACCATAGCATCATTGTGTGATACATCTGTCTACCACAGAAGCAGAGATCTGAGGTCTTTTATCCCCAGGACCTAATGTAGTATTGGACTCAGTGGGAAGTGTCACTGGATTGAAGCAGAGGGCCTCAAGAGTGGTCAGGTCTTTCTGACACAGTAGTGGAATAGCCCCATGGCATGATGGGGCCGTAATTCATATGTCTTTCCGCTGAGTGGCTTGAACCACTGGCGGTATATGCACAATGGTCCCATCCAGTGCTTTTTATTAATTTTACTAGTAAAAAGACCAGTAAAAGTGACTCAGTCCACCTATACCACCAGTCGTACAAGCTACCAATGGAACAGTCACATAGGTACCACTGGTAGCACGAGCTGGCGGGAATGTGTTAGCTGGTGCACTATATGGAACACACTTACAGTTTTTCCCAGCCTTCTTTTTACTTATTTATCACTATTGTTATCAACGAGCTATTCTGGTAGCAGACTCTCAAGTTGAAAGCCTGTTCCTTTTTCCCGTAGGTATCTACACAAGGAATTTGCAGATTCCTGGTCAGTTCCCCAGTTGGCCGAAGGCTTTAATGTCAGCACTGATGTTATTCGCAGGGTTTTAAAAAGTAAATTTGTACCCACTTTGAAGCAGAAACTGAAGCAGGATCAAAAAGTCCTTAAGAAGGCTGGGCTTACCCACTCGGTGCAGGAGCTGCAGGGCCCTGGAGATGGCAGGAAGCCCCTCGCTGCCGGCCACGCGGCATTGGGCTCTTCGCTGCTGCCCAGGCCAGGAGCCTCACCCAGAGGTCAGAGCCACAGCACAGCTTTGGCGGTACTAGAGCCCAGCACTCAGAGTACAGCTGCCCCATGGGGACAGAACGGAAGGAATAAAGGAACCCGGGGTCTGGGGAAGGGGAGCTTTGTGCCCGTTACAGCCTTTGATCAGCAGAGAGAGCCAAAGTCCTCCACCAGTGACTGTTTGCACTCCGGAAGCACCGACAGCCATGGCTTTCCAAGTGACGAGAAGCTGGAAGAGTGGAAGGTGGATGAACCAAGTGACCAGAACTTCAGCAGCAAAGTAGTGCAGAGGGGGCGGGAGTTCTTTGACAGCAATGGGAACTTCCTGTATAGAATTTGAACCAGGGCATGGCTTATGGAAACACCATGTGAAACACAGCTGGGCCAATAGGGAGCCTTTGGCATTTCTGTCCTTTTGTTTTGAGACAGTGTCTCACTGTGTAGCCCAGGCTGGCCTTGAACTCAGGGCAGTCCTCCTGCTTCAGCCTCCTGAATGCTGGGATCACAGGTGTGTGCCACTATGTCCAGCTAGGATTTCTGCGTGTTTTGGTTACCCTGACATAGAAGGGTGTGATGAGCCCGGGATGTGCGCTGCTCGGGTACAGTGAAGCTTGTCGGAGCACTCCCCAGGCCCGGCCCTTGTGGCCCTTCTGTCCTCGTGCCCCTTGTGCTCGGGCTCTGTGGAGAACACCAGGGTTGTTTGTGCTGAGTTAGGTTTCTGTGACACTTGTAATTATATGTTTGGGAGGAAACAAGGAGCTTGCCTTCTAATTTGATTTCCTTCTCTTTTTTTGTTTTTTGTTTTTTGTTTTTTCTCCGGTACCGGGAACCGAGCTCACGACCTTGCGCTTGCCAGGCAGGCACTTTTGCCGCTGAGCTAAATCCCCAGCCCTGATTTCCTTCTCTATCCCTGAACACTAAGCGTCTGGAACTGCTTAATCAATTGGTGGTTTTCCTTATGTGCAAAAATAAAATGTAGCCGTGTGTGTTATTTGGTTCTCTCTGGGAGGGGAGGGGAGGGTTTATTTGTGAACCTTGGAAGGTGATGGAATGGAACAGTGCTGTCATTGAACACTGGGAGAGAGACGGAACCACAGGCAGCTCCAGGGAAGGGCTCTGCAGAGCACCTGCTCAGTGGTTGGTGAGTTTTGACAACTAAAACCGGGCCATTTGTCTTAGTTGATAGGGTTCTGAAAGATTGAGTGGAAGTTGGAAAAAAATTGAAAACAGGCAAAAGGCTTCAGCATTCCCAGCCATATTCTACAGCTTAAATGAATTATATCCCATTGGACAGGTGCCACCAGATTTCTACAAAGGTTACATGAGGCGGGCAAGAACAGACAATGAGCCCCTCTCCCAATAAGGAAACACCCTAGGGTGGCCATAAGTGGCTGTACTGGAGCTTGAATCTAGGTCTCTATTAGTCCAGGGCTTTTGGTGCCCTGGTTTGGCAGTTGCCATTACTTTACTGATTCTTAGGATATTCCAAATTTAATTCTTTTTTTTTTTTTTTTTTTTTGTCTTTTTGAGACGGTCTCGCTAAGCAGTTCAGGTTGCCCTTGAGCTCACTTTTGGCCTAGGCTGGCCTCCAGTACATAATGACCCTCCTGCCTCAGCCTCCCGAGTGCTGGGATTACAGGCGTGTGCCACCACACCTGGCTGCCCCAGCCCTTTCTCTTTTCAAATGGGGTTTAAGTCATTAAGTTGCCCATGCTGGGCTTGAACTTCGCAATCCTCCTGCCTCAGCCTCCCAGTGTACTGGGATTACAGGTGTGTGCCATCATGCTTGGTACATTTATGGTTACTTGCCATGATAATTTTTATTTGTTTAAAGAGGCCCTAAATGCTCTTTGACTGTTACGTTGGCATTTCTAATTCTTGTGAATCATCTCTGACTAAGCCCTTTCCCCAGTGACCTATGGAAATCTACAAGCCATTCTTAAAAACCAGAATGCTTTTTCTATATACCTTATCCCCTACTACCCCATTGCTTGCCTACCATAAACCTTTTTACACTCTTGTAACCTGCTTGTGGAAGGCTTTTGCACTTACTCTGCTGCCAGGTTTTTGTGTGGCGGGCTTCTTGCCAATAGGTGTCAGATGAGATGTCGCTTTTTTAGGCCTCCCTTACCCAATCTAAGGCAGCTCCCTTCACATTCTTCGTGTCACCACAGTCTAGTTTTCCCCAGTGCCTGAGATTCCATTACTACTATATCATCAGCACTCTGCATTTTGTTTTTTTTTCCGGTACCAGGAATTGAACTCACAACGTTGTGCTTGCTGAGCAGGCGCTGTGCTGCTGAACTAAATCCCCAGCCCCAGCACTGCACATTTTGAACACAGACCCCATGAAGGCCAGAGACCAGTGTGTTCATTGCTGTAGTCCCAGCTCCTGCCATCTCAGCATCAGCTAAGTGGATGAAGAAATGAGTGGGTCTTTGTAACAAGCAGCCAGTCTACGGGAGAAGAAAGCCCTACCTTTTACGACAGCCAGCAACATCCCAACCTCAGCCAGGGCACCTGAGCATCCAAGCAGACTTGTTTTTCCTCTGGCTGGCAGTGGTCTCAGATCTTACTCCCTGGTGGTAGAAAACTCTGGCTTCTGCACTGCAGGAAATGGTCTCTGAGCCCAGGCAGGCAGCTGGCCTGTGGGATGCAGCACCATTCCCAGTCCATGTTCGCTAGGCTGGGGTCCCAGGACTTGATGGGCCCCTCTTCCAGGCTGTCCTGTTTCACAGCAGGAAGAACAGAAGCACCACACTGGATGAGGTGGAGCTGCATTTTGTGTGGTGGAGGAGGCAACAGGAAACAGGTTTCCATCTAGGAGCAAAAGGCTGCAGGTGGAGTGGTCACTGCTCAGCAATCTTGGGAGCTGGATCAGGAGGCTGGCAAACCACAACAGAAGGGACTTCGGCTCTGCACCACAGGGGCACACGCTGTAGGAGTAGTGGGTGGCCCCCATCTCTCAGTGGAGCTGAGATTTGATCTCAGGAATGGGGGGAGTGTGGGGGCGCCCAGAAGGCTCAGCATAAAATACTAGATGAGCTCCTGGAGTGGAATACGAATATAAAGGTTATTATTCTGCTTAGCCTTATAGAATTTTCAAACATACAAAAGTAGAATATTATAATGCAAGGAACCCTCCATACTCGTTACCCAGTTTTTCCTTCGGTTTTGGGGATTGAACCCAGGTCCTCCTGCTACCACTGAGCTACATCCCCAAGTGTCCCTCCCTCCCTTTCTTTCTCCCTCCCTCCCTATTTCCCTCTCTCCCTCTCTCTCTCTCTTTGAGACAGGATCTCACTATGTAGCCCAGGCTGGCCTCCAGTTTGCAGTGATCCTCCTGCCTCAGCTGCCCCAGTGCTGGGATTATATGTGTGTGTCACAGCACCCAACCCCAACTCTTTAATATCACCTTGTATTCTGATAGTGGTCTCTTGTTTCTTTTTCTTTTTTGTGGTCTCTTGTTTCATAAGTGACTTTTACAGTTGATTTATTAGGTTATCCATACGTAACGTTACATTTTGTTATGTCCCCTAAGTTTCCTTTACTTGTATTGTCTTTTTTGTTGTTGTTGTTGTTGTTTTTTTTTTTGCTTTGTTTTTTGAGACAAAGTCTTACCATGTAGTTCATACTGGCCTCGAACTAACTATATAGCTTAGGCTAGATTCAAACTAGTGGTGATTCTCCTGCCTCAGCCTGTGTTGGGATCACAGACATGCGCCACCACCCCCGGCTAAATTTCCTTTTTTCTAAAGCAATTTTCCACCCCGCCATTTACTTTTAGAGTCAGATCATTTGTCCATACAATTCCTTGCATTTTGTTGGATGTCAATTTTATCTCTATGACGTCTTAACACTTTTTTAGGCGTAAGCCACCTAAGAAAGTGGCTTATTTTCTTTTCTTTTTTTTTTTTTTTTTTTTTTTTTTTTTTTTCCGGTACCGGGGATCAAACTCACGACCTTGCGCTTGCCGGGCAGGCGCTGTGCCAACAGCTAAATCCCCAGTCCCCTGTCGCCTCTAGTTTTGAAATGTCCCTTTCCGGACGCCGTCCCATTCCCAGTATGCAAAGCGTGAGACGAGAGCGCAGCACTTCCGGTAGGTCTAGGAAGTCGTTTCTGTGACCGGAGGTGGGGTTCTCGGGGCGCGCCTAGGGTCTGCGGATGTAGACAGGACACCTGCTGATAAGCAGAGTGGATCAGGGAGAAACGAGTGTTGGATGCAGCGGCTGTAGGTCTGAGATGAGTGTCTCCGGAAGCTGATGCTGTCTGGCCGGGAGGTGGCCATTCATTCCTCGATCCCGCCTGAGGGGCGAAAGCCCCCCTGGGCTGTGGGACTCGGTGGCCAGGCGTGCGGCACAGATAGCCACACTGGGCTCGTCCTGGGCTGCAGCCCGCCTTCTCACAGCGGAGGACATCCCCCTCCTGCCACGCCGGGGCCCAGGTGACCACGGCCATGGCTTTTCCTCATCGGCCGGACGCCCCGGAGCTGCCTGACTTCTCCATGCTCAAGAGGCTGGCTCGAGACCAGCTCATCTATCTGCTGGAGCAGGTCAGTGCCCGCCAGCCTGGTACCTTTGCGGTAGTTTAGAACTCCCTGGACGCATACATCCTTGCTCAGCCCCTGAAATCTTGCTCTTGGCGCTTGGTATCCTTGAAGCTTCAGGTCCAAAATGCAGCACTCAGCAAGAAAAGGAAGAAGGTAGTAAGAGCCGCTTGGGACCTGGCCAGAGAATCAAGGAAATGAATTTTTCCTACCAGCAAGAGAGATCTCACGCGGTCCAGGCATGACGGGGAAGGGAAGGATGGTTAAGACACCTTTGTTGTCATTAGGGATCTTACGGTTCAGTAGGAGCCCTGAGAAACACCGGTCGCCACACCAGGGGCGTCTGGTGATAGATGAGCGATGGCTAGGCTGCCTGAAGAGTTCGGGATGGGTAGTCCTGTCTGACTGGGGAGATCTAGTAATTTTTAGGAGGTATACAGTGGACAATAAGCAGATTTTCTTTGGAGATGAGCAAAGTTACCAAGAAAACATGAGGTGGGCAGGGGATGTAGCCCAGTGGCACAGCATCTGCCTGGCAAGCAAGGTCCTGAGTTCCATTCCTGTTACCTAAATAAATAAATAAATAAATGGCATGAAGAGGGACAGAGAGCTATCAGCAGTTATATGACAGGCATCAGGCAGCCACTGAAGGTTGTTTTTGTGTGTTTTTTATTCTCTTTATTTATGGCAGGAAGCAGTTTGATGGTTCTAACAGCATTGTGTGGGATGGAGTAATGGTAAGTTAGGAGACCGAACCAATAAAGGCTCATGTAAAATTGGAAGCAGTAGGAATGAGGGGAAGTGATGAATTTTCTTGTTTTTTTTTTTTTTTTTTTTTTTTTTTTTGGTACTGGGAATCGAACTCAGGACCTTAAGCTTGCCAGGCAGGCGCTTATGCTGCTGAACTATATCCCCAGCCCTGAATTTTCAAGTCATAGTGAAAAAAGACAAAAAAAAAAAATTTCTGTGCGATTTTTTTTTTTTTGACAATGTCTAGCTATATTATTCAGGTTAGCCTTGAACTCAGTAGGTAGTTCAGGCTGGTCCTGAACTCATAGCCATCCTGCCTCAGCCTCAAAGTGCTGGAATTACAGGATATGGCACAACATCCGGACCAAAGATTTATTGACCCATTGTAAATGGTGATGGAGAAGCAAAGTTGACCCTTGAGATTTTTAACCTGGATTATTAAAAAAGTAATTTGCTGCTAGAATTGTAATGGATTACTTGCTTAATTGTTTAGTTACAGTGATACCTCCGTTGTCAAACTCAATTCATTCCAAATTCATATTTGAACACTGAAAAGTTCAAGAATTAAACACATTTTTTCCCCATAAAAAATAGTGGAAAACCAGATAATTGGTTCTGAGGCCCCCAAATTACACCTATAAATTCATTTTTCCAGGACTTTAACATATTTCAGTGTTTTTTTCTTTAACTCTATTGTGGTTCTCACAGTTTTCTTCTCTTTATCGGTGGTATCACTAACTTTCTTTTTTTTTTTTTTTTTTTTTTTTTTCTCTGGTACCGGGAACCGAACTCACGACCTTGCGCTTGCCAGGCAGGCACTTTTGCTGCTGAGCTAAATCCCCAGCCCCTGTATCACTAACTTTCTTCGGAGCCATGGTTATGATATTTCATGCAAGTAAACGCAAAAAAAGCACGATGACAAATGTTTTAATGCAGTAACAACACAGGCACTGTATGGCAGTGATGGTGAACCTTCTAGAGCTCTCAGTGATAGCAAACAGCTGGCTGCGGCGCTTGAGCCGTAGATTCCCCACCACTGCTGTATGTTGTCTGGGTAAGAGCAGCGCTTGCTCCATTGTGTCTGCTGTGAGACATGACATGTGACTCACTCTGGGCCTGTACAGGTTTTTTCAAGTTGAGTTTTCTGTTTGTTTGTGGAGCAAAGTTATGAACACTTAGCAGATTGTTTTTGATTTGCTGTTTGAGTAGCGGAAAGTTAGAGTTTAGAGCCATTGTACAACTGAGGTATCACTGTATTTGTTTAATATCCGTGTTTCATATTAAATTGGAACGTCTTCAAGGTCAGATCATATCTGGGTTTTTTGTTTGTTTGTTTGTTTTTGTTTAGGTTTTTTTTTTTCCTGTCTTTTTGAGACAGGGTTTCTCTATGCAGTTCATGTTGGCCTTGAACTCACTTTTAGCTCAGGCTGGCATTGAATTCACAGCAATCCTCCAGCCTCAGTCTCCTGTGTGCCGGGATTACAGGCATCCACCACCACACCTGACTGGTTTTTTTTTTTTGAAACACGGTCTCACTATGAAATTCAGGCTACCCTTGAACTCACTATGTAGCATAGGCTAGCCTTAAGCTTGCAATGATCTTCTTGCCTCTGCCTCACTAGTGCTGGGATTTCAGGCACGTGCCACCATGCCCAGCTTGTTTTGGTTTTTTGAGGCAAGGTCTTGCTATGTAGCCCAAATTGGCCTCAAATTGGCAATCCTCCTGCTTCAACCTCCTGAATACTGGGATTACAGATGTATGCCAGCCACCATGTCCAGTCTTACATGTCTTTTGTTCAATATTGATACCCAGCAATTTCCTAGTTTAGAGTCAAGCACATAGTATATGTTTAGTGAATACTTTATTTTTTTTTTTTGTACTGGGAATCAAATTCAGGGCCTTGCGCTTGCCAGGCAAATAGTAGTTGTTTGAACATGAAATGGACAAAAAATGGAAATGAAAAAAGGAGAGTGGAACAGGTTTGGTGCCGAAATTCATTTGTTTAGGTGTGGATATAAAGAGGAAGTGCAGCTTATAACTGCCAGCACGTGGAAGTGTGGGGCTGCAGCTCCATCTTGTGGGCTGGGATGAAGACAGCGACAAAGGAGAACGTTAGAGCATCTGAAGTGGAGTGTGAGGGAGAAGCCACAGGGTGACTCACTGTGGCCAGAGTGGCTCTGTGCCACCAGACCCTCCCCAGACTAACTTCTGCATTGTTACTGAGCACTGCTGCTCAGGTCCGACATCATCAGGTGGACATCATTTTTTTGGCCTTCCCCTCCCCTTAAGGGAACTAGTTGCTGAGTCCTGTGGGTACTTCCTTATGTATGACTTTAAACATGATGATTGTACTGGGTGTGGTGGTACACACCTGTAATCTTAGCACTCAGGAGGCTGGGCGGGAGGATC